CCCCCACATCACCGGTGCCCAGCAGGGCAGGACCAGGCTCTCGCCCACCCGGCACAGCCCCGGTGCTCACCACCTGCGCCCATCTGCTCAGAGCCCGCTGCCGCATCCCTGCTGCTGGTGGCACCCGGCTCTGCGCCAGCCTTGGGGCCACCGAAGAGAAACTTGGGGATCTCCTTCACCAGCCGCACCAGGGCGCCGAGGGCTGGGCTGCTGGGGGGCCCTGGGGGACAGGGGAGGTGGGGCTGCCAGGAAGGGCAGCCCCCCCAGCCACCAGACGCTGAGCTCTCCCCAGCCGGAGGATTGGGACCCCCATGCTACCCCCACTCTGGCTGGGATGAGCACCGGGGCAGGGCCCTACCAAGGGAGGCCAGCAGTTGGGATGTCCCCTCCGTCACCTCCCGGTGCAGGTCCCGCTGCCATTCCTCCAGCAGCTCCCACTCCTCCACTGAGAACTGGACCTCCACGTCCTCGAACGTCACCGGTGCCTGCAGGGACACCTCCTGCCGGGGCAGCAGAGCCGGGAATAAACCACATGTGTCTGTGGGGCATGGGGATGCTCTTGCTGACGCTGTGGGGACGTGCCGTGGGGCTAGAGAGCAGAGCCAGCCTGCCAGGGGAGAGGGAGAGCAGAAGCCGGCAGGTGCCAGGTATAGGATGAAGCCACTGTCCCCAGAAGAACCTGGAGTGCCTGAGCCCCTCACAAAGCCGTGCCAGGTGGTGGCAGGACCCCCCGGTCAGGCCCGAGGAGTGTGGCGAAGGGGTGTGCGAGCGGCCATGCCAAGCTCTGGGGCTGGCACATGGCTGGGAAAGGGCGTGCTGCTGTGCCCATCCTGCACCAGCACGGAGGCAAAGGCATCCCGGCATGCTTCCTGGCACGCTTGCTGACAGGTCCCTGCACGCTTCACGCTCCGTCAGGGAGGACGTGAGATAACCTGCTCTGACACCCTGGTATTTGCAGCAGGAGTCACTTTGTCCAACCTTTCCCTCCCCGCACAGGCTGGGTGGGGGCCCGATGCCACATGCGATGGTCGTTGCCAGCTCCATGCCACCGTACCCATCCCGCTGACATCAGCCGTGCAGGGATTTGCCAAGACAAGGTTGCGTTGAGAGGTGCCAGAGGGAGGTGGTTCACCCCCATCCCACGGTGTTTGTGTTTGCCCCCATCCCGCTCCCAGCCCCTCTTCCGAGGGACAGCAACACCCCCTCCCCGCGTCCTCTGAGCGGGAGGCGTGAGCGGCCGCGGGCAAAGCCAGGCTTTGCCACCGGCACCCCCAGCAGCTCACCCCTCCAGTATGGCAAAACCAAGCTCAGTACACACACTGACTATTCACGTGGGGGTGCTGGGGTGCTTAATCCCCCCCCAGCCTGGAGAGGGGACCCCTCGGGGGGGTGCGTGGGGGACACACACCTGACACCAGCCAAATCCAACACATGCCCCGGCTGGTGCTCGCCCTATGCCAAGCTGGGGGGGTGAGGACCAGCCCCCAAATCACAGCATCCCCCCAAGTCTGGGGCTGCCCCCCACCCGCCCCTGCTTTGCTCGCCCGAGGTCGCAGCCAGCCTGACAGCACCCCGTGTCCCGTGGGAGCCTCTGGTCCCAGCTCCTCAGGGTGACCCCGCTCCTGCCGTGCCCGGGGCCACCCCGGTGGGACGGTGACCCCCCCCGGGACGGGCAGCCACGGGCAGAACTGGCAGTGCCCCAGCCCCACGCTGCCGGCTGGACCCTCTCCCAAAACTGCTCCGGAGGTGCTCCCCTCCCCGGTACTCCCCCCTCCTGGTACTCTCCTCCATCCTGTTGCTC